GATTGAGACAGGTGATGTGTAATACTATGATGTGGTCGTGATATGGTTGTGATTGAGACAAATGATGTGTAATATTATGATGTGATCGTGATATGATTGTGATTGATGACATGTGCATATTCATTATTCATCCCATGTGTGAACTATCTGTTGCATGAGTTCTGAGACACTGATATGAGGATGGATGGATATGAGACACAGTTGAGACTAGCTCCGGCTAGAGATATATGAGATGGACTAGCTCCGGCTAGCGATTTGGATGCCGATGGGATCTGGTTCCGGCGGTGATACATGGTCCATGTGTGGCCCCCATGGGTTCTGATTTGAGTATTCAGCGCGGTCTGATTACGTCAACAGATGTGTATCTTAGGACAGACATGCATCACGACTACATGACATCATTATTGCATTTGCATCGCATTTGACTTCATCTTTGTTTGTGGTGTGTGGATTTTACCTACTTGCTCCTCTTCATGTGATATATGATCTATTTGCTCTTATATGAGGATATGAGGTTGATGTTGAGATACTGTTGGATATATCTGTTGATTATGAATTGTGTAGTATAGGTTGTTGGTTCGCTGTTAGAATGAAGTTTTAGTGGTTCGGTTGGGATTGAAAGGAGTTGTTTGTAGCTGCTAGTTTAGCTTAGTTTAGTGTTACTTGCGAGTACCTGTTGCTTTTGGTACTCACCCTTGCTTCTACACAGTTGTGTAGGTTGACAGCTCTATCAGATCCGGCTTATTACTCATCTTCAGATTAGAGCTTCCAGACTTACTTGAGAGGTAGCGGTTCATTCCAGACGTGCCCTCAAGTTATCTATATTTACTGTTCTGTTCTATTCTAGAACTTTACTATGAGACTTGTATATTTTATTCAGATTCTGTATTAGAGGTTTGTACATGTGACAACCAATTCTGGGGTTATGTTGAGTTTATTTAAAGACTTCCGTTTATCTTTCTATCTTATTCTTGTTTATAAATTCTGTATCGTCGGGTTTTTGGGTGTTAGGCTGACGTGTCCGGTGGGGTTTGGGAACGTGCCATCACATCTGGTTTTGGGTTGTGACATTAAATCTGATAACTCTCATATAAATGAACTCTTATGGCATGCTAGACTAGGACATGTACCTTTTGTAAAGATGAAAAGTATTCCAACTATACCTATTCCTTTCTCCACAAAACAGCCTTTCATTTGTGCCATATGCCCTATGGCTATACAATCTAGCATGTCATTCCCAGAAAGCACAACCACCACTAGTAAAGTTTTTGAGCTGCTTCACGTTGACCTATGGGGACCATATCACATCCCTACTTATGATGGTTATCACTATTTCTTGACCATGGTAGATGACTTCACTAGATCAACTTGGACACAACTACTAAGGTGTAAAAGTAATGCCCTACAAACTATTAAGACTTTCATATCTCTTGTAGAGAATCAAATCCAGACCAAATTGAAAACTATCAGGTCTGATAATGGTTTGGAATTCACTTCTACTGAGGTCACTCATTTTTTCCAAACAAAGGGAATAATACATAAAAAAATCTTGTCCATATACACCCCAACAAAATGGCATAGCTGAAAGAAAACACAAATACCTCCTTGAGACAGCAAGAGCCCTCTTATTTCAGTCTAAATTACCCATGAGGTACTGGGGAGAATGTGTACTAACAGCCACATACCTCATCAACAGGCTGCCTTCTAAACCTTTAAACAATAAAACTCCCTATGAACTGTTATACCATACATCACCCACATACTCTCATCTAAGAAGTTTTGGATGCCTATGCTTTCCAACTACTTTGAAAACTCACAAGGACAAGTTTGCACCAAGAGAAACACCACATATATTTGTTGGATATCCATTAAATACAAAGGGATACAAGGTATTAGATCTAGCAACCAAGAGAGTTCATGTGTCTAGGGATGTTATCTTTCATGAATCTGTGTTTCCTTTTGTACTTGTTCCTGATGGTTCCAGTTTTCCTTCTGTTTTAAAACTTCTAGTTTATCACTCAAATACTTCTACTTATAATCCAAATTTAACAAACATGTTTTTTGATGATGAATTACTGGACACTAACACATCACATACAGTCACTACAAATCAAATAATCAACAATACTGATGAAAACACAGCCTCACCTGCAGACCATGATATTCATCCACCCACCACCACATCTTGTGATGTTTATACCTGCCCTTAGAAGGACAACTAGATCACTTGACACTCCCACTTACTTGAAGGAATACAATTACAGTCTTCCTAACCTGCATTCTTCCATAAGCACTTCAGTCCACACCATTCCCTCACCTCTTTTGTATCCAACCATGACAGTGTTTGCTTCACAACTTTATGTTCTGATAGTCAACAGTTAATTGAAAACATATCACATGACTGTGAACCTTCCTCATATGAAGAAGCAATCTCACATCCTGTCTGGCAAAAGACAATGACACAAGAATTTGAAGCATTGTATGCAAATAACACTTGGGAACTGGTCCCCTTACCCAAAGGAAATAATGTTATTGGTTGTAAATGGGTCTACAAAATCAAACACAAGGCAGATGGTAGTGTGGAGAGGTTCAAGGCAAGGCTAGTGGTTAAGGGGTACACTCAACAAGCTGGAATAGACTATCATGAGACCTTTTCTCATGTGGTCAAGATGACCACTGTTAGGACTCTCATAACCTTGGCTGTTAAGAGGAGGTGGAGTCTTTATCAATTGGATGTCAATAATGCTTTCCTTCATGGTGATTTGAATGAGGAAATGTATATGACATTGCCACAAGGTCTTACAGTGAATAGTCAAAATATGGTGTGCAGATTGATGAAATCATTGTATGGCTTGAAGCAGGCCAGTAGACAATGGTATGACAAATTGGACAACAGTCTTTGTTCAAGAGGGTACATACATTTAGATAGTGACTACTCACTGTTCTTAAGAGAAAGGGATATTCTTTAGTGTTTGTTGCCATATATGTAGATGATGTGATCTTAACTGGAACTGACTTGGAGGAAATCAACTCTTTGAAATACTTTTTACACGATCAGTTCAAGATAAAAGATCTAGGTAGATTGCATCACTTCTTGGGGTTAGAAATATTGTACATGCCTGATGGAGTTCTTATTTCACAAAGGAAATTCACCATTGACCTCTTGAAGAAGTTTGACTATTTTAACTGTAAAATTGCAACCTCATCGCTTGATGTAAGGATCCTAAAAATGAACTAGGTGAACTAGATCCTCTCATGTGTTTTGATGGTTGGTTATGTGGTGTTTATGGTCTAAGTTAGTGTGTTTTGTGTGTTGTGGGTGAATTTGATGTGTCGTTTGAGGTGTGAAGCATGTGGGGATGACCCTAGGGGTTTGAACATGGGTTTCGGGGTTTAAACGTGCGGGTACAACTACCTCCAAGGACCCACGAGGGACTCTTGAGGAAGACCCCATCCTTAGCCTTGAAGCTGCCTAGGCAATGGCAAACGATGACCCAAGTTGACGACCAGTCAACTACCTGACAGCCCGTCAACCATGGGCGTCAACCAGGCCTTGAAGCTCTGCATGTTGGTGAGCTGCAGTCACAAATGACGGACCCCATTGACGGGGCGTCACTCAGTTGATGGTCTGTCGTTTGTGGGCGTCAAACGTGACTGTAATCTGCAGAATTTTCTACCAACTTAGGGGTGAGTTGGTAAATTCACCCCTAGTTCTAATAAGTGTATTGAAGAATATTATGTATTTTTAGGTATTTTAAGTATATTTAAACATTTAAAGTCTATTTTAAAGTCATTCTCCTAAATTCAAAACCCTCCCTCTCTCAAAACTCTCTCAAAACCCCATGGAAGCTCAAGATGAAAGATGGAGCTAGGGTTGATGGTGGCTACTGATTTCTTCTTCAATTTCGTTTGGTTATTGATGATTAAGGTATGAGAATCATTTATCCTTGATTATTCTTTCTTTCAAGGAGCCCAATCAAAAGGTTTTCAAGGTTTTTCAAATACGTAAAACTCAATTTCAAATTCTAAGCATGGGTTCTTGCATTAAATGATTTTAAATGATGTTTTATGTTGTTATCAATGATTATTGATGGTTTTAATAAAGAAATCTTCATGAACCCATGTCTTCTCAAATTCTTTAAATTTGGCCTAAAGTGGGTCTATTGATTTTGAGTAATTGATGAAGGATTATTGAGTGGTTTGATGTGGGTTGTTCTTATATGATCTGAGCAATGTTGAATTGCTGGAAATTGTTATTGAATTGTATAATGCGAGGTAGTAGCCTTGAATGGTTATAAATTGCGATTTAGCATTTATATTGGTTATTGGTTATTGGTTAGCTTAGCTTGTATTGTTGAATGTTGTTATTATCATTGTTATTGTATTGTTAATTGTTGAAATATGAGGATGATGAAGATAGCTATGGAAAGAGGATAAGTTGACCTAACTTGTTGAATATTGTATAATTGGCATGGAATTGAGTATTGTGGCTTATAGCCTTTGAAAGGTGGTAAGATGGCTTGATCTATTAATATTGTTATAATTGCTTCTTAGGTTGGATTCACCTTTGGTGGAAGTGTTGCTTGTTGCTTTTGAATTATGATTGTGGCAATGAAGGGCATTATAAGAGTATTGTTGTATTGTTGTGTTATTATATATAAATGAGTCTATATGTAAAGTCCTATATGTAAACCTTTATGTGAAGCTATATGTGAGGATATGATGTGAATGAGTTTATGTGATCTTGTGATGATCCTATGTAAAGTGGATAGCATTGTGATCTAAAGTATGATTTCTCATGATGTATATATGTGATGATGTTGGATTGTGAAGTGTCCTCAGATGATAATGATGTGACTTGATTAGTAGCCTAAAGTGTCTCTTCTTGTTACTTAAAGTCTTGAACGCATGAATGTGTGAAGTGGGCTAGAACTAAGAAATGGTGCCCTTTCTATAAATGCTAAAAGAGGAATTCTAGGCCAAGACTTGTATCGGAAGAACTAAGAAATGGTGCCCTTTCATCAGTCTAGCTTTCCTAAATAAATGAATAACCTTGAAGGATGGGCCTTAGGGCGATGTTCCCTTCTTGAGTGAAATGATAGACTTAGACATGGATGGAGCTGGAACGGCATGAGAATCCTTATCTAAGAAATTTAAATGAGCTATCCTTATGAACCTTGATTGGCTATGACTAAGAAATGGGGCCTTTCTTGCGAAGAGGTACTATGAGTTGGTTGAATTTGAAAAGGAACCCTCTCTAAGTACACACTTGATTGAATATTGTATGGGAAATAAGGTTAGCACCGAGTGGATGTGGCCCTTCTACGGTGTGGGGTCTTATGACATCGGATTCCATGCATTGCTAGTATGGTCTATGTCGGTTGATGCCTATATTCCCATCATATGGTATGTGCACTCTAGCTATTGGATATGTTCTATAAAGTGTAGGTAGTAGTATGGGATGCTACCTACACATGGCACGAGTAGGCTTTGAAGATACTAAAGTGAGTTCCCTAAGTCTAACGACTATTATGTGAAAGTCCCCTTATGTGCTTGAATGTCTCCAAAA